TAAGTTTTTTGGGCTTGCAAGTGGGATGCCTCATGTCCTGTTGGAAATTCTTCCCACAAACACTGAACCATTAGAGGTATGAATACAAACATCTCTAAGATGACATTTCACATGTGAAACAGCATGTGAACCATCTTAACCTAAATATTTATAATTTTGAGCTGCTGGTCCTTTCAGTCCCAGCTTTGAAAAACTAAATTGGTTTGAGAAAAGACAAGTGAATTTAACAATGAATATTTTGGAATGTTTTCCTTCCAAAATGGAACAAAAGCAATTCGCCATTTACATTGCTATAATTGTTTTATTGAAGAACTCTGAAACTCTTAAAATTTCCTTCTCAGAACCAACATTAGTAAAAATTCTCGTAAATTAGTCGTTTCAAATGTAATTACGATGGAATTCTGAAAAATATACAGGCACTGGTGTTTTCATTTTAGGCGTTTTTAGTATTGCATACTTAATTCCATCATTTGCACACCAGGCAGTAACAGCGTGTGTCAGACGTCCTCTTTGAAAATGATGTCTCTGCTTTTTGTAGTATGTTCAGAAGAACTACCATACTGACATGACTCAAGATAAACTAGTCCTAGCGGCACTACATCGCTGTAAGGGATCACCAACACACGTCTCAGCACAAGCGCGACAACCTGAGAAAAGTCGATCGTAAGACGATACGATCCTTATCCAGCCACACTCCCAGTAGTCTCAAACTGATGACTAGTGCAGACTGCCAAAGCCTTGAAGCAAAATAAGGTTCCAATTCAGGTTTCTATTGCTAATGAGAAATACACTGCAATATTCTTTTCCATCTCCCAATGGTTTTATGCCCTAATATAGTGACCTATGAATAGCTGGCAAAAAGTTTATAGTGTACATTTTATGTTATCAAGTTTTGTTGACAAGTATCATTATTTAGTAAGATGATTTGTTACATCATCATGTTTGTATTAAAAACAAAACCAGAAGCTGTGGACTTGAGTGAAAGGTTTTCTGTTTCCTAGCCAAAAACCTCTTCACAATACTTCCTTTGTTTCTGTGCTGAACAAAATGACTGAACTTGGTGGGACTTCTCTCTTCCCTCCCAGGAGCCCCAATTAACAGGATGAATCTGCAAACTACTTTTCCTCAAAGCATGTGTAAGAGAAACTCCAGGTGGAGCACAGAATAAAGGACTACAGTAGCAGTCCATCAAACGCTTCCGCACATGCCTGCCTTCATGCGCTGCAAGGTGCCTCGTACAATTTTCCATACCGACTTCCTCAGCAGTCAGAATCAAGCCAAGGCACAAGTCTTGGTAGAACCTAGGTACCCAAGTTTGATTTAAGGGCCTGCTTTTCTCTGCAAGATGGGTCACGCGTGCCTTTGATATCAGAACCCAGCTTCTTTCCGGAGTGCTCAAGCAGAGGATGAACAAGACCCCTCACAGCCACAGAAATGCTGCTTTATCCCTCTGCAGCCTGGTGACATGTTGCTGGGTAGGAGGCAGCCTTGACTCCATGCAAACCGGAACCCCTCTGCTCCTTGAAAGGGCTCACATCACACTTACCCAAACGAAAAACAGAAGAGACCCTAATCAGCACAGGTCGATGTGGGTCTTCTGATTACGCTTTGCATTACAAGAAGAGTAAAAGTGCAGTTGTCACCTTTATCATGCCTCATCGGCCAAAAGAGGACACTGCACGGCAACCTCTTCATCAGTGCATAAGGTAAGTTTTCACTCCTCCAGCCTCAGATGATTCTCTCCTAATACGGTTAGCAGGCACATGTGGAGAAAACAGGCCTCCCTAATATGCCACTGAACAGGATTATTTATTGCCTTAGCAATAAGTTTTTAGAATTACACAAATATTTGTACATTCAAATAAGAACATGTACACAAACCCACTCAAATTTGTAAGATATTAAAACAAGAGATGCGTACATCAATGACAAAATTCCACAAGACATCTGGCACATCTAACTCTTACGATTTTGAATGCCAGAACTGATACTGAACTAACTTTAAATAAACAGTGATCCAAAAACCTTAATTCACATAGCACTACTGAAAATAACATTCAGTGCTGTTATCTCCACTTGAGATGATTTTGGTTCTCTTTCAGAAGAGAAATGTCACTATACTACTATTACCAAAGATAGGCAGAAAAGCCAACGTTATACCACAGAACATCCACAGCTTTCTATGGAGGAGGAAGCATCAGCAAGCTATGTGGTGCTATTTGCTGCAACATCAGCCTGGGCATGGGCATGATCTCCCTAAGCATATGCATTACTCTTGGGCAAAAAAAAAACTGACACAAGTTTAAACCAAGACTTTACTTGGATATAAAGGGAAAGAAGACCTGCAGAATCTTTCACAGGCAGAAAGTTATCTTAAGCATATCCAAGGAATCTCAAAATTTAATTCATTTAATTCAACCATCCTCAGAAGATTTTGGTATAAAGTCCTAACAGGAAGCATATGAAATTCTCCACTCCTTTTTAGTAGCCCTACAACTTTGATTAGGAAAGGTTCATAACCATGAAGATTGCCATACTGACTTCAAAGAAGTATTTTCTTCAGTCTTCTCATCGGGGATAGGTAACAGTGGAGACTGCATGGGATTTTTAAGTTATCCAAACAAAACTTAGCTGCTCCCCATTTCTTTGGATCCTTAGCATAGTTTAACCCTACAAGTGACTTTTATGAGGAAGAAAAAAAACAAACAGAAAGACAGCATTTCCCAGATTTGGTGAACCCATAAACTGCAAACAGTCCTCCAAATCGCTCAGAGACTGGACACCATTAGTAAGCTAAAACAAAAATTTGAGACCATTTCATACAGAGCCTGTGTCCCGACTGCCCTCTCGGAAAACATCAGGAATCAGCAAATGACAGTTTGATACAAATTATCTCACGCAGTTGATCCCCTTTGCAAACTGAAAATAAATAAATGAATAAAAACCTTAGACTGACGTTGTAACGAATCCAAGTGGAGAACACTCACATCAGTTCCCACTGTCTGCACGGGTAATGGTAGGAGACATCACATGAATTTACATGACTAAATGGGAGTGCGACTCCAGCACTTGGAAGCTTTCCTGTACATGCTGGCATTGTGCTGGGCTCTGTCCCACGTCACAGGCCATCACCCCAAGCTCCCCCGGCTCGGCATCTCCCCACTCCCACAGCCACCCTCACTGGTGCTAGGCAGTGGTGGGCACACCCCTGCTGCAATTAAGCTGTAATTTAGAGGCACAGATGTATCCTCTGGCATTGAGTGCACTCACCCTGGTACCCAAGCCAAGCACTTCTCACGAAAACCAACTCTGCAGGAGAAGAAAGCAAACAACTGTCCTAGATGGAGAGGGAAGGCAAACGCTGGGGACAAAACTGCCCAGGCATAACCCTGCCTGCTCCCCTTCCTTGGTGGACACAGCTCTGCCTGCAGGCTTGGTCACACCAGAAGTTTCATCAAAACAAGAAAAAGCCCCAAAAGGTACACAGAGCAAGAGGCAAGACGTAGACCAAGCCTAGGAGGCAGAGTGGGAATATGGTGTGGACAACAGCTGGTTCAAGCAAGCACGTTTTCCTCTCTTGGCTGGGTCAGGGGAACACAGACGTTAATCTCACTACGGTTTTCTCAAGAGCAGAAGATGATAAAAGGTCTCCATCTGCTAAATCCACCTCTGCAATACAGTTCGCATATCCCTTTGGTTTCATCACACAACCCTACAAATCGTTGTACCCGCAAAACGCATCAGTGAAGGACTCTGCTGAAAAACAGCTTCCTTCCACAATAACTTTTTTTTTCCTTGCAAAGTTATTTTTAACCCACATCATTTCCATGATCCAATTTTACCGCACAGCCTCACCAACACTGATGCAATCACAGCCAAAAAAGTGGCAAACTGCACCAACAGCAGTGATATTTTAAGTCAGCCTTGTTGCTGAAGGCAACATCCTGCTGCACTGCGCTGTCCATCAAAGTATGAACTTAACTGCTAGCAGTTTCCTTCAGTTCAAATGGTAGGGTCCTGTGTTTCCGGAGTTGCAAATATGATTTAATAATTGCATTTGGAAATTAGAACTACAATTCTACTGTGGAATGGAATAGTATTCAACTTTTTAACTCTTTGTGCAATCAAATCATCCCCGTATTTGTGACCATTACACTTAACATCATTGCAATCCACCCACTTGTAGCTCTAGTCAAAGGGCTAAGACAGGCCTTCTAATTTGTATTTTCACGTGCCAGAAAACTGTAGCTCAGGAAGAGCATACAGAGGCAAAGGGAACCAAGTAGAACCAGATTCCAGATCACTAATGCTTCATTCATAGGACACGTTTTATGATTCACAGTGAATAGAGTCTCTATAAGAGAGGATAAAAATCTTACTAACAATGGACTGCTACCAGTACACACATGCTTCTTGCATAGCATTCGGTGAATCTTTCATCCTCTGTGTCTCAGCGCTGCCCTTTGTAACACAGATGTTCCTCCAGCTCAAAGAGGCACTTTACACGGTACACACCTTTCTGTAGAACTTCAAATACTGCAATAAGAGCAACATCAAAAACAAGGACCCTTCTACGGAACCCAAGGGGCTGAGTGGTATGTAATCCCATGTGAAACGAACCTCAAAGACAGAGCTAACTATGAAAATGAGCGTTGTTAATTACACAGCATCATCCAGTACTTGCTTTACATGACAGAAGCGTCCTATGACTACGCACATATACAACGCTTCACAGTCAAGATTTTACAGAGAAATTCTTATTTCTTGACTAGCATGCAGGTCATTGCTGTAACACACTTAAGAAACTAATGCTGGCATACCATTCCTGTTAAGTATAAAAGTCTGCTGATTCAAAATACAAAACCAAGCACACCTGGATGATGGTGAAACACACAAGAACACTTGCAATATCTGCAACTTTCCCCTATTTTGTTGATTACAAATAAAAACTCCCCCTTGTTGCTGCAAAACTAGCTAACAGAAGAATGGCAGATATGTACCTTGCAACAGGTTCGTATGGTTTTCTAGTTCACACCTGGAGGATGAGGAAGGAAGGTAAAGATTTGGATTTCCAGCTCACAGAGGGAGTAGCAGTTGCAGTTTCTTGCCCCCAAGAAGGAGAAAAAGCTGTTTTGCGGCTG